ATAGACACACACACACACTTTTTAAGTCATCCTGAGGTCCCCTAGTATAGGTCCTGGTTCCCTTGTAGAGAACCACTATGCTATACAAATCAGTTTTAATGATTAATAATTATTTGCAATTAATTAATATTCTTCCTTATAATGCTTAATAATTAACTGCTTTAAATAAAAAAAAACTATTTGTATTATATTTAATGTTTTATATAATATTACACTTTTTATAATAAATATATACATTTATATAAACATTTAATAACGTGTTAAAGTGCAGGATTCACACACCTCATAGGGCAGTTGTCCAGGCTGTGTGAAACAAGACAGGAAGTGCACATGTGAAAGGGTGAAGCGGAAGCTTCCTGTAGCCGTCCTTTGATACAGACACACCTCATTGACAGGGCAGCGCCTGTGCGAATATGTACCCTCACAGGAGGGTCAGATTAGAAGGTGAGGGTGACAAATAAGTCTGCAACAGGAAAGCAATGCAGACCTCACACTCCTTCTACATGCCCACACACGACTATCCAGCATCCATCTAAGGAAGCCGACACGCAAGTTCACATGGATTTCCTAAATTAGCATTTAGCTGACTAAAATGACCTTTAAAATATCTTTATGTATAATTTACTTGATGTAAGCTGAATAATTAAAATCCTGCCTGATTAAGATATACAACAACAAAATGATGTGGGTCTTTGAGGTTTACAATGCTTCTGGACCCCAGACGGACCATGTGACGCACTATTTTGACCAAGCATCATTTACAGCACACACTGGCCTGCTTTGAAAAGAAGAGAGTGTGGTGTGTGTGATTTAGGGCCCTGACACCTCCCCCTGGTCTGATGGTCAATACCCTTTCAGAGCCGCTGAGGGTCTGGACAGGGGGGTAAATGGAGGTGGGGTGGGGTGTTAGCCTTGCAGCTGCTGCATGGCCAAGGGGAAGGAGGTAGGCCACTAATAGCCCCACTGGCTTGTTCCCCAGACTGCCCTGAATGGCCTGTGAGCCACAGCTGGACACTAAACCCACACCGGCTTTACGGTCATCCGCAAGCCTGGCTGAAGGAAGGGGGAAGGGGCTTCGCTACAAAAGAGTGCCTGCAATATAAGCCGGCGTAGTGCCCATAAAATGGCACAAATACGACACAGCATCATTGGACTGTGTCGAGCAGTTCTTTCCCAGCATCGTTTGGCAACATCCTGGGTTTAGGCTTCTCTCTTTTATGCAGTGCAACACATTTCATGTGTATTTCATAAAAATGGGATTGAATGGTGTGGGTTTTTTGTTTAAAAAAAAGTGCCCTGTGATTTAATGGTGTGTTTTTAATGTTATTATTTGTACAGAGACAATGATTTTTACAATTTTAGTTCCACCCCAACCTACCTGAAACAGACTGCCTTAGAAGAAAACAAATAAATAAAAATAAGAGCATTATGCATATATATTCTCTTTCTATCTATCTATCTTTACAAAACCAGAAGCCTTAATGGTGTCTATAATAAAATAAAAATTCAAAAAACACAATTATGTCTTTGAAAAGTCTAATTTTCTTTTGTGTGTGTGTGTGTGTGTGTGTGTGTGTGTGTGTGTGTGAGAACTATCCCTTTAAGACTTCCCCATTGGCATGTTTTATATATCCATTACAAATTATGGATTTTTAGCCACTGGTGAAATTGGGATGTCATCTCTCTTTCTCCTGAAGATACATTACCTTGCTACTGCACATTTCTGTGTCTCTAGTAAAATGAATATAAATAAATTGGATAGAATTATGGAAAGCTGTATTCAGCAGTTCTATGTGTCAGCCTCTTTCCTGTGTAATCACTTCTGGAGACCTAAACTTTCACCATTACTTAATGGATCACATTAGATGACATCACACACAGGCATTTCTAGGCTTTATTTTTCATCTCAGCCCTCCTAAAAATCTCAGAGTAAGCTGTCAGGTCACTTGAAAATCTCATGTTTGCTGAAAATAGATGCAGCAGAAAGACATCAGAGAATATTTTAATTTGAATCCTCTATTTACCAGTCATTTAAAAAATAAAAATAAAAAAAGGTTTATCATATTCACTTTTAAATCCATTTGTTCTAGTCTGTGTCCGTTGTCGACATATGTACGGCAGTAATATTCGGTATAGATAGGTATATATACGTATCTCAGTATACAGCCACCCACTTCTATCAACCACATATGGCACCATTACTGATTATACTTTCAGAATTTTGTTTATTAAAAAAAAAGTCAGTCAAGCAAGATTTCAAATCGTTACCTCATACTCTTAAAGCAATAAATATTCCTTTGACACATCAGATCATGTTTCAATAACAGGCTGATCCCCCATAAGACTGAAATCCTAGAATAATACTCCCATACACAGGGTCAACACTTTGATTTGTCCTATATTTTAATTTATTAAAAAAGTCATTACAAAATGTAATGCACACATAATAGATACTTATTTTATAATGAGCATGTTTTTAATTTCTGTATTTAAATTAATTTAGATATTTTTTGAGGGGGAACAAAGTCAGAAATCACAGGATGATACAATTGTCCTGATATAATAATGAAGATTTTATTTTATTTTTTAAATAAGACTTAAAAAAAATGTATTAAATGAACAGTTGACCCAAACATTTGAATTCTGTCAAACCTCCAGAACATTCTGTTCCAAGCCTGCACGACTTTCTTTCCTCTGTGGAACATCAATGATTACATTTTGAGAAATGTCTCAGTGCTTTTTGTCCATGCAATGAAAGTCAATGGTCACCAAAACAGTTTGGTTACAAACATTGTTCAAAATATCTTCTATGTTCTGTATAAGAAAGAAAGTCATACAGGTTAGGAACTACAGGTGAGTAAAAGACAATATTTAAATTTTTGGTTGAACAATCCATTTAAGTACTTTGGCTTAATCCTTTAACCTTTCTTAGAATATTTTAACACAAAAAAATTAAATTACTTCACTGTTTATTAAAGTTTTTAAAACTTTTGTCTACAAAACCGAAGACAATCAACAAGCAGAAAACCAAACAGTAAGTGATATCTCAGAGAGGACCCCTGCAGATCTTCATGACTTGTGTGTGTCAAGGTCAGTAATCACATTGTTCAACTTTTTTTATAAGGCAAGATTAGTTAAGGTTGTAAAATGTCATGTGGTGCAACAATAATTCATGATATTTATATAATGACATTTTACCTTGGAAAAAATAATTATTTATATAGAATGTTTATCTCTGTGTTTTCTATATAATGATTCATTTGTCTTCTGCCAGTCTGTCACTGTAAAAATTACATTTATTAAGCTGCCTGGTTAAATAAAGGTAAAAGAAACAAACTAAATGTTTATGCCACATTACACATTGAAACTTTTCCTGAAAATGGTATTTAAGTTTTTGAAACCAACATTAAAACAAACAATTTAAGAATTTGTTGCTAGCTTTAAACTAGATCATGGACACTTATATAGTACCTCTTTGACCCAAAAGGTTCTTTACAGTTATTCACTTATACTGTAGAACAGAGATAATATGAAAATACCAGCATGACGTCAAAACCTCTCTTCTAAACGTGAAAGCACCAACATGATTAAGCTTTCCAGTTCTTTCTCCGAAAGGCAATCGGTGCTAAGTAGACAAACCGCAAGATACCCAGTTTGTTTCTGGGAACGGAGCAGCCTGACCAGATTTAAGTAGCCCTGAGAGGTATCAAGCTAATTCTGTTAGCCAGGTACAAACCCCATGGGCAGTTCCCAGATCTGCACAGCCAGCCTATGCATCGGAGCTGACAGGTATGGGAAGTTTTTAACCAAACGCACTTTCTCCACCACACCTGGTACGAATAGAGAGGTGGATTCAGCGTTTCCTGAGAACACAGACTACCATTACAGCCATAAATAATGACTGGCTGAGATGTGTATAAGCTAAAGATCTGCGTACGGTTGCCCTTACTGAACATGGCATTGAGCCGTCTTCCAATATTGAAATACCCACACACAAATGAGCTCAGAGACGCACAACGCAGTGGGCAGACGAGGAGAGAGGTGACAGAATGCCACTGGCTGCCAGACTGTTCTGCTCAGGGCCAAGAGCACTAAAATGGTTTCCGTAGTGACAACACTAATCCCATCACTGTGCACAGGGAGAAGGTGTACTTCACTTCCACACTCAGCAAGGCAGTTTGTGCAAACAGGCCCAAATCTAACCTTTCTGCATCTGACTCAAATGTGTTATACAGACGTCGCTGTGTATTTATTTAACAGAATGTTTTTGCAAATTCGTGTTTTCCTTTTGACGTCTGAGAGGGCAGGGTTATAAACATTTACCTCATGCTGTAGTATTTCTGTCCTCGATCACGTGGGTTGTGACAACTGCGGCAAGTCTGGAAGTTTCCAGGCCGTGGCTCCTGTCTTACCTTGCTGAGGATGTAGATGGTGTCTCCTCGCTTAAAGGACAGCTCATCCGGATGATCTCCAGCACAATCCCACAAGCCCTGGAAGTAGTTTGCGTAGTCTGTGCTTTTGTTCACTGCTGCAGGAGAAAGAACAGAACATAATTTAAATAGAAGTTCATTTAGAAAAATGTAATTATTAAAGAAAGAATGGGGCATCGTTCTGAACTCAATATGCATCACAAAATGTTCATGAAGGGCAGTAAAAATGGGGATAAAAATTTGGTTGTTGGATTGGTCTCTGAACATCTTATCTGTCTGTCAAAGAAATCTCACTGTCTATGTTGTTTAAAAGTTTGCAGTCAGGGAAAATGTTTAATATTTTTGAATAAAGTCTCTTTTGCTCACTAAGGCTGCATTTATATGATCAAAAATACAGTAAAAATTTTAATATTGTGAAATATTATTACAATCTAAAATAATGAATCTAAAATATTGATATTATTAATATTATATTTTTTCAAACGTAATTCATTCCTGTGATGCAAAGCTGAATTTTCAGCAGTCCTTATTCCAGTCTACAGTGTCACAGTGTCACATTCTGATGTAATGATTTCCTGCTCTAGAAACATTTCTTATTATTATTAATGTTGAACCGTTGTGCTGCTTAATAATTTTGTGGAAACTGTGATCCCCCCCCCCCATGATTCTTTGATGAATAGAAATTTCAAAAGAACACCATTTTCTTGAAATAGGAATCTTTTGTAACATTATCATGTCTTTACTGTCACTTTTGATCAATTTAATGCATCCTTGCTGAAAAAAAAGTATTAATTTCCTTCAAAATATCTTATTGACCCCAATCTTTGAATGGCAGTGCATGATTCTCTTCATGCAATGGTGGTTTGGTGTATGCCAAGGGTCTTTAACAGAGGGTCCACCGATTGTTGTTTGATCTCAAAAAATGTTTTGCGTAAAGACAAAATACGTGATAAACACAAATACAATTTCAAGTTCATTTTAACCAAAAATTAAGCGTTAGTTCTGGCAGGTCACGTGAGTCAAGCTTGCATCAGCTGATTCTCAGCTGATCACATCTACCTATAGGAATACGACACATATCGCGGCATTCCTATATAAGCTCTATTCAGTATTATTCAGCAGCTTTTCAGCTTCCTCCAGAGCAAATTACCCTCCTCCATCCCCAGCTCCTCCTTTCGCCACAGTCAGGAATTGGCTTTCTGATATTCCTTGCTAATCAGACTCCTTTATCTCGAATAAAGTGTTACACTTAAATATCATTAAGTACATTAATGATATCTGCCTTGTTCTGTTCTGTTAACCCTAGGGGGGTTATTATTGCTGCTCTCCCTGCTCATTCATGACAGGCTGCATGGATGGGCAGGGAGGTTTTTGCCCAGAACAGAACCATACCGCCAAACCAAACTTTATGCTAAGTATCTATAATTTTGACGATAGTGGTCCTGACAGAACTAAGGTTCAGCTAAATGTTTTCTCATCCATATTCAATTTTTTAAGTAAATGATTTTCAATCATGCAAATTATTCTATTAATTAATAATCATTATTTTAATGACTTTGCGATGTAAGATTATGTAAATACATAAACATGGTACTATACATTCATTATTTTATGGCCTTGCTAAAATTCTTTATCCACCAAGTGGTTCCTGATTGAAGGCCCCCATGTGTTTTTCTGGCTCAGAAAGATCCACTAGTGGGCAACATAGAGAGTATAAACTGCTGTGGCTCCTGCCAGTTGAGATGCAAACTGAAGAACCCTCTAATGAAAGACTTCACACCATGTTGTGTATTACAAGCCATATTTTTGTTAAAGCTTTTGATTTTTTAGTCTTGTGCAAAGTTTCAGTCCCTTTCAAAAGAACATTTACTTTCTATCTCAAAACATAAGCATTCTGGATGAAACATTTCAGTTTGTAAAGCTGTTATTTCAGCTATATTTGCTCTTGGGTTTACATTTAACCTGCCCTTGCTCTTGGCTCTTGGTGTAGAGCATTAGAAGAACCCTCTAATGAAAGACTTCACACCATGTTGTGTATTACAAGCCATATTTTTGTTAAAGCTTTTGATTTTTTAGTCTTGTGCAAAGTTTCAGTCCCTTTCAAAAGAACATTTACGTTCTATCTCAAAACATAAGCATTCTGGATGAAACATTTCAGTTTAGTGAAAACACATTCAAAACATGATGCATTTGTTTTAGAAATGACACCTGCTAAGCCAAGTTTAGACAGTGACTGTTTTTCTGATGTACAGTCCTACCTTTAATCAGAAAATCAATGTGCTCCACCCACTCCTTTGCATCTTTCTCGGACGCAGCACAGAACTGTAACAAAAAGGTATTGTAAGAGATAATGATCTGAGGATATGAATGAACACTGCATGTTTTTACATGGTATGAGAGGTGACCAACCTGATAAACACGCTTGTCTGGAGCTGAGATCTCAAAGCAGCAATCTCGCTTTGCATCTTTCCGCAGGGTGTTGTTCATTTTGACAATGTATCCGACAATATTAAACTCTCCCTTCTGCTGTTTATCTAGTGAAGATTAGTGTAGATTATTGAATGATCCAGTTCCAGAAAAGAGAAACTGACGTCAGGACTATGTTTACTGTTGAAAACAAAAAACAGTAGCTTTCCCACCTTTCTCACTGCCATAGTAGTAGAAGATGTTGTTGTTTAAAGCACACCATCTCTTCTGCCATTCATTGCCGAAGAAGCTGTGATCTATAAGAAGTTGAAGGGAGGTTATTTTTTTTATCAAAGTCTGCTTTATTGTCAATTCTGCCACATGTACAGCACATACATACAGAGAATTGAAATTGCGTTACTCTCAGACCCTTGGTGCATACAGTTAACACTTAACACTAACAGCAGACATAATACAGATAAATACAGTTTAAAAATATATAAAATACAACATATACAATATATAAATAAGGACATTGTAAAAAAAAAAAAAAAAAGAAAGAAAAGAGATATAAGGCATATGGCAGTTAAGAGTGCAAACCAGTGATATAAACAACTGTGAAGATATAATGAGTGTAGTGTTTATCATGAACAACCTGTTTCTGAACGCAGTAACCTACCCTTTCTGCGCTTCTCCAGGAAGCCACTCTTCAAAATGGACTGAAGTTCCTGAGCTGCAACCGGAGGAGACTGTTGAACTCCTGATTTCAACAAACAGAAAGTTATTATATTTTATTTCAACTTATTTATGATGAGCAGTGCTAGCTGTGCTAGCTGAGCACCTGCCTTCACAACAAATTAAATGCATTTGCTAAAGGCAGCCAGAAAGCTACTTCCATGCCTTTAGGTTTAAAAATCAAAAGTCAATGTCAAGCAAGACTAAAGTTAGCAGCAGAGATTCAAACCTGGATAGAGTTTCACTCATCGATCTGTCAGGTACAGCAGTATGTGAAACAGATGCATGGTCTGTTTTCAAAGCAAACCTCCCCTCTCGTTTACACTACCCTCCCTTCTCTTGTGCACACACTACCATTGCATTGCTGGATGAGTGTGAGCGAGCAGAACTGTGAAAAGCAAACTGAACATCCTCGGTGTTGGAGCGGATTTCTCTTAAATCTGCTAGAAAAATGTCTGGCAGAACATAAATCATGCCGTCTTTTGGAGCAAACACTGGCAAAACAATTAAAACAGATGACTTTTTGAAAAATGGGAACTGGCACAGAGCATCATTTTGATTTTTGCATCTTCCTTATTGAATTAAAAAAAAATTTAATTATAAAACAAAATAATACATATATAATGTATATACACTACTGTTCAAAGATTATTTAAAAGAAGATTCTTATATTCACCAAGGCTGCATTTACTTGATCAAAAAGTAAAAAAGTAAACGGTCAAAAACAACAATATTACGAAACATTACAATTTACAATGGCTGTTTTTCTATTTTAAAATAAATAAAAAATTGTTACAATGCTAACTTCATCAGCCTGCATCCTACCCTTCTGATTCTATGAGTTTCTGACTGCAATAATCAGATATGAGGCATGATTCGAAATGAGTCGGATGAACTGGATTTTATTCTATAAAACACATGACTGCACTATAGCAGTAAACGTATTCCTACCATATACATACATACATATACATTCAGCCTGCATCCTACCCTTCTGAGTTTCTGACTGCAATAATCAGATATGAGGCATGATTCGAAATGAGTCGGATGAACTGGATTTTATTAAATGAAAATTCTACCAACAGCATTCATTTAGCAGAAGCTAATAAAACAGAAGCCTATATTGACATTGGCTGTGGGCGGCATTGTCTGGGCTGCAGACCATAAACCATTTGCTCAGAGACAAAAGAGAGCTAAACCCTTGACGTCTGTGCCTTCAAACCGTTCCTGAGCCTGTTGCCGGGTTACATCAGTCTTTCAAGCACCTCATTCAGCTTTTGTGTTCTTCTACCACTACTAAAAAATTCTAGACAGGACATGACAAAGAACTGCCACAATGATACTGTGTTATGACAGCTGAGGCTGCAGGAAAGATGATAAGTGATTCATTCATAACCGAAGAGAGATATATATATTTTTTTTTTTTCTTAATTTATGTGAATTCTGTACATACAATCTGTGTACAGAATACACTGCTGTGTTTCTTTCATAATATTCACAATTACAAACTTAGCATCCTTTTTACTTCCAGGAAAGAATTCAAGGGGACAGAACTTTGTCACATCATGATATTCCTGTCTCACAAGTTCTTCTAAAACAGTTGCAGATGCTCCATGCTTCTCTTCTCTTGTACCACTTTTACATAAATCACACAATTTTCCACTCACCATCATAAGCGCTTTCCTCATCCCTGTCAGTCTGCTCTGAGTGCAGTGATCCACCGTCGTTGGTATCCACTTCATCAGGCTCTGGAATCTCTTCATCTCCTATACAACAGAGTCTTCATCAGCATTCTCAAAAAGTGGAAGTTAGGAGGCCGCATTTTCAATCCTCCACCAGAATGACACATTAAGATTCTTTAATTCAGATATTATGTATGTTTCTTGCAGATATGATATCTGACAGCACAGGAATTTCGGTGCCTGGGAGGTAGTATGAAGTATACTTGAACTATTGATCTCCCAGTCGCTGGCAGCTTTGAGTGGCACTAACTTTGCAGAGATTTGGGATAATGGAATAGTTCAGCCAAAAAAGAAAATTTGCTGAAAAAGTGCTCACCCTAAGCCAAGGCCATTCAAGATGTAGATGTGCTTGTTTCTTTATCGGAACAGATTTGGAGAATCTTAGCATTACTTAACTTGCTCACCAATGGATCCTTTGCAGTGAATGAGTGCCGTCAGAATGAGAGTTTAAAAAGCTGATAAAAACATCACAATAATCCACACAACTTCCATTCATTAATTAAACCGAAGCAATGATTTGAAGTAAAAAATGCCTTAATAATGGATTTGTTTCGTAAAAACATGCAGCTTTCGCTTCACAAGACAATAAATGATGGAGTGGTGTCTATTACTTGTCGATTATTGTGATGTTTTTATCAGCTTTTTAAACTCTCATTCTGAAGGCACCCATTCACTGCAGAGGATCCATTGGTGAGTAAGTGATGTAAGTCTAAACTTCTCCAAATGAGTTCAAATGAAGAAACTAGCTCAGTTTGGATGACATAAGGCTGAGTACATTTTCAGCAAATTTTCATTTTTGGGTGAACTCTTCTTTTAATATGGAAGATAAACAGATCTCTTGTAACACTATAGCCTGATTGAATCACATTCCCTTACACTATAATTACTATTAAAGAGCTGATGGAAAAGCAAAAATGATGCATATGTTTGTGCCATAATGTTGAATTTGAGCAAAGAACTTCCTGTTCACACTGTGATGTGGTAATAGTGCTGCTGTTAAAGCGCTATACCAAACTCTGCCCTCTACCCACATCTCAACCTTAAATTTATAGGAAACACAAAACTGATCTGTGAACAGTTATGTGGTGATTTAAATGTTATTTTTAAAGCACTCTGTTTATGTGTTCCCATTAGAAGAGAAACAGTGTACACACACACACACACACACACACTCATTAGTCAGGCAAAGATGTTTACATATCATGAAGAGTTAAAAGTTCTAATGTTCAGAATGAAAGCTAAGCAGGACAGAGTGAAGCACACAGTAGACTACAGCATAGTGGGGAAGTATAGTTTACTTCACCATGCTTGAATTTTAGCCCCTCCCCCAGACACACGCATACTACAAGCACATTAAATCTTACGTTTGTCCTTGAAATCTTGAGAGTAGCTGGAACACAAATAATTTGGATTTGTTTAATACTATCCATAGAGTCACAAACATATCAGGTAATAGTTATTACATGAACACATTCTGCCGTACCTCGTTTTTACATCTTTAATGCGCTTGATGAAGGCATCCTTTTTCTCTTTTGCTTTTTTGCTCAAAGTCTCCCCTTTAAGGACATCCGTTAAAAAGGTTTCCAGATCTGAAAACAGACACTGTTTTATGAGGGTAGCCTTTCTTGAATTCCTGAACTCAATTGTTAGCCTAGGTTTACGCAAACAGGTGCACTTACTGTTTGAGGAGCATAACTTTCGCCTGTTCCAAACTGATGACAATTTGATCAATTTAATGGCAATAGCCTAGGCTACATCCCTGATGGAAAACACATCTTAAACTGGTCTTTAGCCAGAAACAACTACTGTCAATCTGCTTTTTGGAACATAGTAGCTGGTCAGCCAGCTAATAGCAACCTTGAACCATCTAATAAGCGTAAACTAGCTAGAAACTATCTACCGTGTTCAAACGTCGCGTCTTAAGCTGGAGTCTCCAACAGGTATGTTACCGACTCAAACTTTAGAGAACTAGAAAAATTGTAATTTTATCTGCAGTTGGATCTTAACAACATAAACTCTCAACTTTAATGCCTGTTGCTGACTTAATAATTAAAACAACACGTTAAAACACAAAATAAATATTTTCACGCCTAGCCTCTTCTTCAGAAAAAGTAAACAAAGGCCACTTTATGCTCTAACTAATGTTAAAGGGATATATTTTCAGCGTCTGTCGGTAAACTAAACTTCCTCTTTTCAGCCAAGTATGAACAGAAATAAACGTAGAGACAAAAATTGTAATATGTTCTGATTGCGCTCCAGCCCTAAAAGTTCGCTTTATCAACTGTTGTTTAATCCAAATATTGCGATTGTACCTGAAAGGAGAGTCGTTAAATCTTCCGGGATGGATCTCATTGTGATAAACCGCTTGACCCAATAGCCTTCGAAACACGGAAGTTTCAAGTGGACTGTGAAATACGGAAGAGGCAAGAGCCTACCCTGCAGCAACCACTATTCAAATTAGACAGTATTATTCATCACGCCTGCTCCAGCAGAAACATTTGACTAGAGTGCCGCTCACCCTGAACAGTGCACTGGGGACTCACACGGTTCCTCGTCCACTTTCACGATTTGACAGGAATGATACACTTGAAATAAGTCATTTTATTGCATTATTCGTCGAATTCACATTCACTGAATTCTGTGACGATGATAAGATTTACCTTTGATGTTTTTATTAGCACAAAAACAGATGGGAAAGATACAGCATGCCCATATGATCTAATCTAATCTGAATCTAAAGCAAGAAGCTTCTCTACTTCTTTAGACAAAGCGGCAGTCCTCATTTCCAGACGTTGGTAAGTAACTGCCGAATGGTCTGGTGTTTTTATTTATTTATTTATTTTTAATTTGCCCTCTGTACCTTTATATATATATTCACTGTTGGTGCATTAGAGGATGTTAGTGAGAGGATCTAAGGACATTTCAGCCCTTTTAGATGGGCCTGCTGTTTGGAGTGGGCCCCACTTATCCAGAGGAGGGAGACAGGTGAAGAATGGGGGTGATGCACAGCTTTCATAGGAAAACACATAGCTATCCATCTCCATCTGTGTGCTCTGTCTGTGCTCCTTTGCTGTTTCACAGAGATTACTGCAGAGAACAGATCCCTGCCAGGAGACCTGCACTGTGTCACCTTCTCAAAATACCTCTCCAAGAGAATGATAAGGAGTGGAATTTGGTCTTGGGTCCAACATTTTTTTTTTTTTTTTTTTTAAGTAATATGGAAAGTTATTTTGCACATAATAATTAGATCCATTTTGCTAACAAGACTTGTTGAGATATATTTCTGCACATAAGCAAATAAAGCTATTCATAGATGACTTACATGAAAGAATAAAAGGCTAATTTTAGTTTATGAAAGTATTGGCTGATATTCAACACTCACATCCTGCCTGCTTGTTCGCTCGGCTTGAGCACTGCTTGAACCTCATTTGACCTGGCCACAGATCCATCTGGTGTGGAGGGAGAAAGAGAGGTGAAGTGCCCTTTGACCTTTTGAAGGAGCGGGGAGCAGCTCCATATCTCATGCTCCTCTGTCGAGCCTGTTTGATCTGGACTCACCTCAGTTCACAAGTCTCAGCTTCTGGCCCCAACCCACAAATGGTGGAATGTGTGTGAGTGTTTTAATGCAGTTTTACATGAGTATCATCATAACCAGTGATCATCATCTTTATTAAATTAGACATATTGCACTTCTCTTCATCCCAGAGTTTTAGCATTCTACTTTGTTGTTTTCTCTAGGGTAAAACAGAGTTTTAATCATTTTTGGTCAACATGGCTCTGTGGTAGCCAGCACTGTACTGCTTGTGCATTTGATTTTATTTTTTTTAAGTAATATGGAAAGTTATTTTGCACATAATAATTAGATCCATTTTGCTAACAAGACTTGTTGAGATATATTTCTGCACATAAGCAAATAAAGCTATTCATAGATGACTTACATGAAAGAATAAAAGGCTAATTTTAGTTTATGAAAGTATTGGCTGATATTCAACACTCACATCCTGCCTGCTTGTTCGCTCGGCTTGAGCACTGCTTGAACCTCATTTGACCTGGCCACAGATCCATCTGGTGTGGAGGGAGAAAGAGAGGTGAAGTGCCCTTTGACCTTTTGAAGGAGCGGGGAGCAGCTCCATATCTCATGCTCCTCTGTCGAGCCTGTTTGATCTGGACTCACCTCAGTTCACAAGTCTCAGCTTCTGGCCCCAACCCACAAATGGTGGAATGTGTGTGAGTGTTTTAATGCAGTTTTACATGAGTATCATCATAACCAGTGATCATCATCTTTATTAAATTAGACATATTGCACTTCTCTTCATCCCAGAGTTTTAGCATTCTACTTTGTTGTTTTCTCTAGGGTAAAACAGAGTTTTAATCATTTTTGGTCAACATGGCTCTGTGGTAGCCAGCACTGTACTGCTTGTGCATTTGGAAACCACAGACTGCCACATTCTGATTCATTCCTTGTATTTTTTCTTCTTGTGACTTGAGCCTGTAACATTTTGCTTGGATAGGGCTGTACAGTGCGACAAAAATCGGTCTGAGCCTTGAGTAAATGTACTACAGTAGCACGTGTGCGACACAGTTTTACATGTGTATGAGTCGTTTACAAACCTGTTGTCCAACAAAGATATTCAGGGCTCTACAGTGCGACCATTTCAGATGATGAGTGACAGCTTTTAATGATTATTAAGGGAGTTTGCAAATGTGATATTGATTTAATACAACAGTTCATTAAACAAGAAGTTAATATTAAGTGACGTATATTGTCTGACAACAACACAATTGCCTTATTTTGCTCTATTTCATCAACGAATTTTTTTTTTAAGTAACAGCTGAGCCGCTGCGCATCTCTATTCAAACACAGCGGTGATTCGTTTATGAATGAACTGCATTTTTAAATGAATCTAGTGAGTCAATGATTCAGTTACCCATTCATAAAGACAATCACGTACTTAGTTCCTGAATGATTCAGCTGATCGAGCGAATCAATTGAATGAATGATTCAGTGATAAAATCAGTGACTTGACGCCTCCTGCTGGCAGTTTTAGTTTAATTTTTAAAGCATCTTTTCTGTTATTTAAATAATTTCTATATTCAAAATGTTATATTTAACACATTAACCTCAACATGAATTTATGAATTTAATTGTACTCATGCGTCCTCTGAGCCTCATTAAACCTCTGAAAATACACATACAAGCCACTTGTGTGTTCTTTTGTGCCATCTCTGAAAATACTGATTTCATTTGATTGGTAACTTATTCTTATTCTACTTCTTATTCTACTTGTTTTTATTCTGTTGTTTTAATTAGAAATGTTAAAAAGCTTATAAATATATTTTTTAGATTTTGGCATGCTTTTAATAAAGTTAGAAAAATGCCGTTACAAAGGTAAAAACAAAATTCCTTATAAATCACTTTGAGTCAACTATCACCTCGTAATGGGAAGGTTCATTTTTTTATCAGCTCCATATTAACTTCATAACATAGTCGAGTGTTTGAAATAACTTATTTTTTGTGATCAGACGTAGTTTCTTATCACAGAATAAGGCAGAAAAATACTATTTTATAGCATTCTGTACAGTGCATTGCATTATAAATATACTTTATCCTTATAAAAAATACTCAAGATTGCTTGAAGAACACAGATACCATATATTTTGTGCAATCGCATGTTTATTGTCTTCAGGTTTCCTCAGTTAAAATGTCTTTATCTGCGTTTTATTCAGCTACAGCGATCACTGGATACTTCTTCTTGGAGCATTACTTCTACTATGCATATGTGGAGTTTCTGCGCAAGGGCACCCTCCGGCTTCTAGTATGAATTAAACGATTAAAGTAATGCTCACAACACCCTATTTTAGGTAAAAATAGGAAAGATAATACTTTTCTCTAAAGAAACAGGATTCCCTAAATTATCGTCATTGATATTGTTATCGCAATAAATATCAGAAATTATCGTGATAAATTTTTAAGCCCATATCGCCCATCCCTATCTTTGGTTTTGTTTTAGAGAGCTGGTGGAGAAGAATTGCTTTGTTGGGCACAAACAATGCTGAAATGTAATGTTTATGGCAGCCGCGTGAAGACATACTCGACTTGAAAACATACCTGAGATGGGTGAGGTCACCAGCAAATACTATGACATGTGACAGGTAATTCATATCTGAATCAGACCACCTGAACAGCCTCCGAACATGAAGGAAGAACATCTGAGGGCACGCTCTTGCCACTGTTATTCACACTGCCTGTAGGGTGCAGGGGTATCTGTGAAGTTCAGCTTTGTGATGGATGAGATGGTGTTTTTGCCCCTTGGCCTCTGAGGGATTAGGCTGCTCAGGTGTTGTTTTTAAAAGACTTAGAATTAGCTTACATTTAAACATTTAAACTTTTGACACCACTTTCACCACCTGTTTCTGGAGAGAGAAAAAAAGTCTGGGATTGAACCTTGAGTTTACGTTTAATTTTCCATGCCAACAAAAGAATTAATGCATCAGTCATAAGTTACACCTGAATTGTACATTTGTAACTGTCGTATCTGTGTGTCTCTTTGGCAGGTCTTTGGGACTTTAATTATTAATGACCATATTTTATTCCTGAGGCTTTTACAGTGTTTCTGAGTTTGATTCAACATTACATACTGAGGCCTCGGTTGCAGCCCCAGGAGGAAAAACACTTTATGTTAGATGAGGTGTTTGAGAAGCAGACCACGTAAGTGCAACTAGAAGAAGAATAATTGCATACCTCAGGAATTCCATAAACATGATCTATGAGATAATATCATGCTTCATAGAGCTAATTTGTTCATTTGTATTCTGTGGTGTTGCTGTGGTTGGCCTTTTACGTGATCCATTCTACTTGATTCAGATCCTTAAAAGGTTTAAACCTTTAAAGGGATATTTCAATCAAAAATGAAAATGCTGTCTTCATTTACGCACCCTCATGTCATTCTAAACCTTAATGACTTTTTTTTTCTTCAGCAGAACACAAATGTTTTTGTCCGTACGATGAAAACTAGTGGATCCCAAAACAACACTGGACATTTTTCAAAATATCTTCTTTTGTGTTTCACAAAAGAAAGGCATTCATACCGTTTGTACATGAGGGTGGGTGAAATTATGACAGATTGTCATTTTTGAGTGAACCATCCCTTTAGTTGGTATAAGCATTACATAACTGCACACTTAAAATTCATATATACGGTTTGCATTTTCATGCATCGTGCTATTTATATTTAGTGTTTCTGCTCTAATTTCGCTCTACCCTCAGAATATCTGCATGAAGCCCACCTGCATAGGAATGACAAAAGCGACCACCGAGATTAAATGCAAGGTTTCCATGGAAACCAGCTGAAGTCTGACTGCACTGACTTTAAATGCCTGCATAGACATTACAGCCTGAGTCATTGTGGACTAGCACTGCATAGGCCTTCCCTCTTTAAGCATTATGTAGCTGTCGGGACAAGAATTTTGCTTCAGACAGATTGTTCGTCGATCCTTGTAGATGCAAGGATGACCAAAAATATGTCAGGCTAACTAACCAAAGCCATAAACTTAGGCT